CGAAAATCGGATGCAGTATGAATCCAGCATTTGAAGCAAGTAAAGTGCAATAAAATACTACTCAGGGTACATACCTATCATGGAACAAAATCGGAATAGATTCTGATCGGAATTATTCAATTATTCCCTAGATTTCTATTGTGTTTTCTGGGGAAAACGGAATAATTCCGATCGGAATCCGACTTTGTTCCATGATAGGTACCCTGCTCCTGTATGCGTGAAAAGTTGTAAAGTCATGTGGAAATTCATGGTTGCGTTCCGTTTCACTACACATTTTGTGTATAATTGTCTATAATTAGGGCCCTAAACTGCCCTAAGTGTCTGTAAGGATTTGACAGTGGATGTTCATATTTTTTATCTTTATTATTACATAATACTAGACTATAAATTATAAACGTTTTATCCTAATGTTCTAATCCGACATTAATATGTGACTATAATATACTACAATACAGCAATTTCAATTAGGCAGGGTTGGGTAAATTTAAATTAAAAAGATAAAAGTTAAGTTAAAAAGTTAATTAATTTTAACTTAACTTAGTTACATTTTAGACTCTTATTTTTTTAACTTAATTTAGTTACATTTTATCGGTAACTATTAACTTTTAATTTGATTTTTTTTAAGTTAATCCTCAGACACAATGCGAGATAATGAATATATAATTTAGTAATTTTATATTGTATAATCGTTACTTGTAAACAAAAATAACCAGATCTTTTAATAAATATGCTGAGAAAGGAAAAATACGAAAAATTATGTAAAATGGTCAAAATTTTTCTTTTCCTTTTTTTTGGTTGTTCGTTCGGGCCAAATTTAACTTTTAATTTTTCAATTACTTTTTTTATTAACTTAACTTTTAATTCAATTCATTTCATTATGGATTAATTTGTATTTTAATTAAATTAAATTTTCAAGGCTGTTAACTTTAACTTAACTTAGTTAAAAAAAATATTTAACTTACCCAACCCTGCAATTAGGTATTTTTTTTATTACTATTTTATTGCTATTTGTAAATTTTGAAACTTTTTTTTAATTACTTTTAATTTATTTTGTACTTGTTGGATACTATCTTTTTATTAATTTAAATTTAAGTTCTCCATCAGGCGCGTACATGAACGTGACTTTGTATTTTAACGGCTGGTGATGGTACTCTAGTTTATACGATCTCAGGAGCTGAAAATAGTATCGTTATAATATTATAATATTTGCTTGTTTTTTTTTTAATTTGGCAACACAAATTTTTATAAACTTACCTAAGTAGAACACGCAGAAGTCATGAGGATTCATCATGACCTCATTCGTCATTTATAAGTCAATTTTTAGGTATCAAATGACGTCATAATGACATTCTGTGATACCATTATGATTTAATTATGACTCCGTGTTCTACCTGGGTAACTAAAGCGATATATATATATATATATATAAAATACTGTACTTTTGCGAGGAGCACTTGCATCTCGAGATCCGCGAATCGTCTGCCCAAGCACATTCGTGCTCCGTAACCGTACGGTAACGACGCAAATGGATGCAGATTTTCGTTATCAGAGTCTTTGAGCCATCTTGAAGGCTTAAACGTTTTCGCGTCCGCAACATATTCCTCCATATTACCGGTGACAAGGGTCGGAAATACAACTTGAATCTAAAATAATTTTATTTTAGATTAGATCGCCTAACATATACTCGACGTTTGCTATAATGAATCAACCACGAATAAAATTATTTATAACATTAATATCGTAATTTTATTAAATATTGTATATACAGAAAGAATGTTTTGCTGACGTATTTAAAAAGCTAGATATAGATCTGAAATGATTTTATTGAACAATCGGAAAAATTATGTAGGACGCTCATATTATACATAGCAACGTTACAAAAAATTTTGACATTCTAGCAATCATCTTAAATATTTTAAATAATTATTATAATAGTTCAATAAAATTATTTCAGATTTATGTCTAGCTGAATTTTTAAATGCTTCAGTAAAATTATTTTGTCTATCTATAGATATAACGGAATTTTACTTATAGGGCTACAAAATTGTGTTCAAAAGAGCACCTTATTTTGATATAGAGATAATGTTTGCAAATTATTGTACATCAAGCATGATAAATTTTATAAACGATTTTCAGCGGTAGAGAGATATAAAAATAAGATGTGCTACTTACTCCTTTAGGAATTTTATAGCCACAAATGATGGTATCGTTCTGCAATGTTCTTCCATTTCCGATAACAGTGGAATATACTCTAAAATGCAACGCATATATAAGATTTATTAATTTACGAAAGTAATCAGGCCATCATTAACACATGTAAGAAATTGAATTAATTGTTTAGTAAGTTTATTATTATTAGAGTTTATTAATGACGATTAATATTATATTACCTAAATACTTCGCGGATAAAAGCTTTCATATAGATTGCTTGATCCAAATGGCTCGTTGTGAGAGAAACGGATGGATCTGGTAGTATTTGCAATAACTCTTGATGTATCTTCTCCTGTTCTTCTGGTCTAGTTGCTAATTGATATAATATCGAACACACTGCCATCGATATCTATAATAATAGAGGAGAAGGTGCTATTATGGCCAATGTATATATTATGGCCTCCCTTAATATCTCCGTTATTATAGCGAATCCTAATGATTACTTATGGAATTATTAGTTCAGTAGCTCGCCGTTACACCATGACGCTAATATTACCAATACTCAATAGCCAGCACTTATTATAACGCATTTTTACTTTCAAGTATTTCGAAACGTTTTTGAGGTACACTTTAGCATTTAATTACACTTACTTCCTCATTTTTCTTAAACTTGAGCGTATTATCACGCGAATATATGTATTTTTTAATGTATTGTATGCTATTTAACATTTTATTTGACTGTATTTTGAGTTGTGTAAATTTAAACAATAGCATGGCATTTTGCTAATGTGGCCTTCTATGGATATTGATTACTCACGACCTCTTTTTCATATTAAAATAATTATTTGATAATCGATTATAGCTTTACTGTTAATCTATAGTTTATATTAAGTGTACTATATATTTTTAGTGCTGAGATTTTTAGTACTAAACAGCTTATATGCAGAAGTTATGTGAATGTATATACATTCATTTGCATACATTTTAAAATGTTTTATTTTTTTGTTAATTTTGTAACCAAATACTGTTTTCTAAACAAAATTAATATTTTAAGGCTATTTTATGGAAGGCCACATTACCATCCATTTTTTTCTTCCAGTCATTATGCAATGTCGCCACATTTTTATTAACAGTATCCTAAGTAATAAGTATTTCGTAACTTTGAGTCCAGAATCGATTCAACAACATTTTAACGAATGTATTAATTGTCAAGTTTTAAACTTAAATATTGATTATTAATAAAGTTATTGTGTAAAATGTAACTAGGGTATCGTAATACCCACTTCTTCTCCTCTATATAATATACACGAAAATGTAATTTAAAAAAAAAATGCTTTGTTTTCCTGGACTTGTTCCTCACCCTGTATGTCTCAGAAGGGCACTCGAAATATTCACTCAGAGAAAAAAGTCGTATCAGTAACTATAAATTTGTAGTGAAATAGCGCCTCAACTATATACATATTATTAAATTCTAATAAGAATACTAGATTAAGTGAACTAAGAAAATATAGTACATTAACCATATAAACAATTTATAAATAGTTAATATTACTATATTTTCTTAGTTCACTTAATTTACTTATTGTTCTTATTAAAGCTTTATAATACATAGTTACAAATTTGTGTATGCATTTCTTATTTATTTTTGTCTTCCAAGTTTGAAACCAACGCTGCGCCTTTTATTGTAAGCTGAGTGGTTTCCTTCTTAAGAGAAACTGAACTCCGCTACGTCCCTCTGGTGACAAAGTCGCGTACTACTCGTACTGAGCGACCCTTTAAAAATTTTTGTCTAAACTAAAAAAATGTAATTGTTATATCTATTTGCATGAAGTTCAAGTAACTACTCAATGTAGTTGAGTCACTATTTCAGTACCAATTAATAGTGCATACAATTTGTTACCGTGACTATATTTTTATAATATTCAGCACTACTTTAGTTTCTATTACTTTGTAAAACTAGTTACAGGTACTTCAATTGCAAAAGTTGCCGAATTTATAGTTGCTGGAACTATTTCGTTTTCTCTGTGTTGAAGCCCAGGGATGCGAAATGGCTTAATACGGCTGAACTGAATCAAAATAATTATATTAGATATTCAAGGAAGTTGTCAAAATGTCGCAAGCTATTTGCTGCATTAGATATCATGTTTCAGCGTTCTACATAATTATTCTGATAATCCAATGTAATTATTTTCAGATCTGTACGATCTGACCTAATTTTTATATATTTCAGCAAAAATATTCTTTTTGTGTATTTTTAATTATATAATATTTTACATATTTAATTAATCCTTAAGTAGGCGAGTTAGAGCCATTTTTCTCTTCTTCTTAATCCTTTAATTAGATAGATTACTTTCAACCCGCTGAAAAGTACTATGAATAAAAGACGGATCGAACGATTCAGTATTTAGCCTCCTCAGGGGAGAAAAGCTCCAGAGCCACTTCAATCGCTGTGTGATTTTGCCAATGCGCCTACTTGAGGATTAATAGTAATTAATTATAAATTTAAAAACTAAAAGTAATACAATTTAGATTAGTAGTTATAATCTACGATATTGTGTGACTTGCCGTGTCGATGCCAACCAATATCAGATCGAGAGCAAAAATATAAGCTATCTTAGGGTCTGTCTCTTTGGCCAGAATTTGTTCTACCAGCGACAAATCGCTCTCGTCCACGGCATTCTTATTTTTAAGCCTGACTATCGCAGCATCAATGTACTTCATGCATATCCTAAAATGAAACATACATACATTGGCGACTAATATCACTAATTGTTGAGTTTCAGAAATAAATCATTACCAAACTATCTGTAATTGAATTAAGTTGAAAAAAAATTTATGTAACATTGAGCGTTTCCTTAATTATGACTACTTTTATACGACTCGATTTACTTCAAAGTTACAACATCGAGGTTACAAAACTGATCAATCATAACTTCTCTGAAGAATGAAATGACTGTGATTGGTCAGTTTCGTAACATCGATGTTATAACTTCGGCGTAAATCGAGCCGGGTAAATGTAGTCTATCATTTAATAGCTAATGACTCTAAAATGGCTTCTTTCTCTTATTTTCTACAATTTTCTATTTCGTATGTGCTAAATGATGTAACAAAATGCCGAAAGAAACAAAAAAGAATTATTTGTCTAAATTTCAAATAAAGAATTTCTTTATTTTCTAATTTTCTTTGTTTCTCGAAATCGCCTCAAAGTCATAAATTATTTTTATTAAGTCATTTCTGTCAATCGTTTTTTTTACTTTATTCTCCCTATCTATACATATCTTTTTTTTACAGGATTTTTTATCATATCTATTCATTTTCTCTAAACTTACTCGATGAAATAATTCATATTGCGTACGTAACGACTCCAGAGAGGCGTTGGGATGTATCTCCAATACGGAGCTTTAAGCTCGAGCGAAGCAACATTCCTCAGCGCGAATTTGGCAGCATCGATAATCTTTTGCGGTTCAGAATTCGACGACAATGTGTCGCCCAAGCATCCGAGTCTAACATCGAGTGCCACACGTCCAATACCTATTCGATTGACATAAATACATAATTCATAGTACATACATAGTACATCGTCATTCTATGTTCCAATAGTCACAATAGTGAAAACGAAAACGATATGGATTTTCTTTCCGGAAAGAATGTCAACAATAATAGTAGTTTCTCTTCCTTTCTATCTTTCTCTCTGTGAAATAAATTGCGTTCTTATATGTAAAATGTTAGAGGTCTTGTTAAATGTTATTAGTTGTAGCTAAATATATACTTACGCGTATTATATGAAAAAAATAAAAACTAATAAAAATCAAATTATATTTTGCCATATGTATAATTTAGAAAATTCTAATATAAATATAATGTAAAAAAGGAATTTTTAATGTTCCATTTACATTAATTTTAAAGTAGTTTTCTTTTCCAATTATTTCCTTAAGTAATTCCATAAATAATTATTAGAATAATATTAATTAATATTATAAATATAATAGTAATAAGGCTCAATAAATTCAAAAAATAAAAAAGGAAATAAGGCTACGAGCCAAAGGTTAATCGTTATGATTTAAATTATTAGTAAAATAAATATGTCATTAGAATATAAAAACTTTAATGCCGGCTATAAACAATAAATGACAAAATAAAGACAAACGTTTCGATCCCTATCGGATCATTATCAATGTTAAAATGAACAATACAATAATAAAATTAAAAATAAAATTAAAAAAATATACTTCGCTCTCCTCTCGAAGTATTAACATTTTCGCTAACATTCGAAGCAAATAAGGTATCTTACATGTGGATCTTAATAAACAGTCTATCATTAGAATAATGCGAAGAGAGTGAAAAATCGTATCATTATTCGTTTGTGTACAGAGACAATATTTATTTATAGAGACAATATTTTCGTTTGTGTACACAGACGAATCATCGTACCTTATTTGCTTCGAATGTTAGCGAAAATGTTAACACTGCGAGAGGAGAGCGAAGTATATTTTTTAAATTTAATTTTTAATTTTATTACTGTATTGTTCATTTTAACATTGTTAATGATCCGATAGGGATCGAAACATTTGTCTTTATTTTGTCATTTATTGTTTATAGCCGGCATTAAAGTTTTTATATTCTAATGACATATTTATTTTACTAATAATTTAAATCATAACGATTAACCTTTGGCTCGTAGCCCTATTTCCTTTTTTATTTTTTGAATTAATATTATGATTTAGTTTCTACTTTTATAAAACTTAAAATATTTTTTTAATATGAAACAATTGTATCTAGAAAATAAAAATGAAAAGGTTAATGTTTCATAGATAAAAATATTAAATATTAAAAATGTGTAAGTTACATAAAATATCTTAAATACAATGTATGAAGTGGTCGTTATTAGAGTGTAAAGAGAGAAAGAGTTTTGCGCAATTAACGTGTTAATACTTTACATAAGATGAGCGAATAATATAATTTACGTAAGATAGAACTAACATTCCAAAGCCCATTTATGTATCTCGTTATCGAAATCGCCAGGCAACTCGTCGTCGTCTCCTTTAATCTTTTCGATTCTACAATAAGAGATATCGCAATAATCATCAATATATACATGTATATTAAATTTATTCCTTACTCTTTTTTTACCTCTTTATAAAATCTTCCGTAACTATTTCGATCGGTGTTATATATTTTCGTATAGCTTTCGGCTGGAGAATAGGTTTTTGGACGCGCGTACGAAATTCTTTCCAAGATTCACCATGTCTAGTGAGAGAAATCAAATTAATGTGTGATGAGTTCATAATAAACGATCGAAGCAAATTATAAAACTATTCTTTTCGATCGTGTGAATCTTTTCATTGAGATACTATTGGCATAATAAAAAATCGAGGTACATCAAAGCCATATATATAAAACTCGAAAATTCCACCATACTCTATATATATAATATAATTTATCTATATAATTTAAGAGTAAATTATATACAAGATTCACTAATAATATATATTAAAGACCTTCATATCACTAATAATATATATTACTGGTCGAAGCTAGATCTTTAATTGCTTCTTTTTAAATAATTCAAATTGTGAATTATATATATATACTATATATGTACTTGCATATATACCATATTTGTAGTCATATTCACTACGCGCTGAAATTTTTCCGGACTTTACAAACGCAGCTAAACTACTGAAATAATATCACAAATTAAATTTTGATGCTCAATAAACAATTATTGTAGAGATTTTAATCTAATAGAATCTATAAATAAATTTTTTAATTATTGCGAAACATATTACCTCAGCCGGGAGTCGAACCCGGATCTCTTACATTTCGTATGAGCGTCCTTACCCAGTTAGACTACCGAGGCGACAAAAAAATTTATTTATATACAAGATATTTCATAACATATGTGGGTATTACTTTAGAAATGAATTTAGGACATAAGAAAAACCAAAGGGTTTATATCAACATTTTATTTGATCTTATTTCCGAGTTACAAACATTTCCGAAACGCGGAAATTAAATGTAAGCTCATCATGAAACTTTTAATCAAATTGAAATAATAATGCGTAACTCGCAAAGCTTTTTGCGAGGAAAAAGATAACTTCTTCGATATTGGCGTAACGAATATGACTTTTGATATGATAGTAAAATAAAGAACAAAATAGTTTATTATATAATTATTACTCGTTAATTTGACCGTTTTTATTATTATATTCTGTTATTAGTAATACGAGCATATTTGTTAATTATTTAATTTTTTAATAAGAACTATTGATAATTAAAATTAATTACTTTTATTGCTACAAATTTCTAAAAATATTATAAAAAAAAAATAAAAAATTTTTTTAAATAAAAAATTATATCTTAAGAAAAGTCTTCCATTTGTTTTATACTTATTCTATGTTTAATAAATTGAAGTGAAACTATTCATCGACAATTATTGTTCACCTACACTCCTACAACTCCTGGTAGTTCGCCAAAAAAGTCCTTGCGTACAACACTCTTATAGTGCACCAGGCAAGGCATGGACGGTCTGAAGGGCGTAGGGCCCTCTTGCCGATACACCTTTTCGATCTCGTCGGCGTCGTAGACAAAAAGCAGATCGGGGCGGCCTATCAGACCACTTAGCCGCACTATTTTGCCGTACTCGTCGTAGAATATCTGCGAGATTTTTGCGACGTCCGAGATTTGATACTGGCCAATCAGCGGCAATAGCCGCCAGGCATTACCTAAGATTGGGATCGATCGCGGACCCGGTACTTCGTCGTATGGTTTAACAGACAAGGACGCTAGTCCCGAGGATGACGAAGCATGAGGACATGCGGATGTGATCGTATCATTGCAGAAAGTCCGAAGGACGATCCTCTGAAGAAAAGACTCGCAAGATTGCGACAAGCGATGTCGCGTCTCGCAATTTCGTAGTAACGATTTCACTCTGTAATCCCATTACCACCTTCCTTTAATCCTCCAGAGTATACAATATTTCTATCAATAAAATAAAATCGCGCATCGAAATATCAGTGAAAAAATGTAAATTATAACATTTTTTATTCGCAAAAAAATATTTAATTGTTATTATGAATAATTATATTATTATACCATTTCATTTATAGTTAATTGTTCGTTTTATTTTATACTACGCTTTTGCGTGTAGACGAGCTGCAGCTGTTACCATCATTATACCATCACTGTACGTAATGGCTGCGTTCAGCAGAACGTTTTTACAACCGTTGGAAGTTTCTTTCGCGCTAATTGAATCATACTTTTAGATTTAGTTTAGAAGAATGATCCTATCTCAGCAGACAATCATAAAACGATTGCAAAACTGTTGAATATGCTGAACGCAGCCAATGCCGCAATCTTTCCCAAATGCGTAAACTTTTTTTGCTCACACAAAACTTACTTTCACTGACCCAAGTAGTAATCATGCAACTTTTCCCGAAAACATGAAAAGTGAAAATTTTTATATGTGTGATACGTACATACATACATAAAAATTTCACTTTTCACGTTTCCATTTTAGGGAAACAGTTACATGGTCGCTACTCGATCGTAGCATAATAATTTAAGTACATTTCACTTTTTCTTTTTCTTAGCGAAAATCAACTTTGCTACAAGAAAGAGTAAGAGATCGAGAAGAAATTTATTGTTATTATAAAAGTGATATATTGATAAATAAATATCTCATAAATGTTTTGATTAAGACATATATTTACTCTTTAAAGGATAAATTTATGTATGTTTAAAAAACAATGTCCACTAAAAAGAACCAATACAATTATACAAAAGTATGCACGTGATGGATGACCCAAAAAGTTACAACAAGAAAGCATAAATATTTGGACGTTTACCTCAAATATCAGCTGCAGTAGGTGACTTATAAATTTTATTCGAAAATATTTCATTTCTAAAGATTTAATTAAAATTTAAATTATCATACATTAAAGGAAATTAAAGATATACATTAAATGTATATGTATGTAGAGACGAGATTAAATTAAACAACGCGCAAAAAGATTTTCTTTAGATCGCTCGCTCAGAGAATAATCTGATTTACCTGTTATTATCATTTCATAATAATTTAAAAGATTATTTATCAATTGTGCTAAGATAATCTAATTAAGATAAGCTAATTAAATCTCTTACGTATTGTAATATATAAAGTACAATTGATTTAAGACAATTTTAGAAAGCTGTTCGAACTTTCTCAGCAGGCACTCTTTCACGCATTGAAATCACTGCGTCCGAAAAGGAAACGGTCTTTTTTCACTATTAACGAATTTCGTAGAACATCTGCGATTACATTCCAATAATATTATCGCAATTGATTGTAATTAATACCCATATTTTTTATGAACGTACCTTGTTATATTTAAAAACAACATTGTTCAAAATCCGTTCTTTACAGAGCGACTCTAAAATTTTCGATGATCCACTCATTCACGCGCACACAATATCGTGACAAAGACGATGAATGGAAGACTTGGTAACGTTATACTTCACAAATGCACCGTTACGGTTGAAAACCATGAGCACCGTGAGCGAAGAAGGTTGCGGGGAAGCAATCTGCGAATGACCCCCACTGAAGAAGGCTCCCCCTCTAGAGGAGAGAGCATAAAATGACCCGAATCTTAAACGAATTTAAGTTTAACTCACAACCTATTTCAGCAATCTATTCAATTGGGCCTAACTGAATTGTCATACTAATTTTCTCTCAACATTCCTTTTTAAATCAAAAAGAAACTATTGGTATATTAATAGAAAAAAATCAGTTATATTATATCTTATTATTTGAAACATATTATCTTTGTCAAGTTATTAACGCATGTGATGTACAATATTATATCAATTATATCTTAATTGATCTTAAAAAAAAATAGTTATAATAAAAAATACATAATTAATATAATATGTGTAAATATTTGTAAATAATTAAAATATCTTTTAACTACAAAATGTAATCATAAATAAAGTTCAAAATGAAACTGAAAAGAAAAGTAAAATATGACCACGATAAAATACGTGTTTGTAATTATAAAAATAATTGAAGTAAAAGAATGTGTTATAAAAAGTTGAAATTTGTAGCTTATTTCATGTACTATTAATGTAAATTATAATAATCCAAAATTTTAAGAAAATTTTAAAGTCTTTCATAGCGATGATAGTTTTATTTTACAATAAAATTCAACTTATGCCTATCTTAACAGTTTAAGTCGCTTGTATGTTGGAAATTTTTAATTTGTAAAAGAAGTACTGTTTCATCTGATAAATATTTTTAAGTAATAAAACAAGGTACTATCAAGCAACGCGGTAGCGTCGCAACGCCAATTATTAGGTCAATCGAAAAGTTCCGTCCATCTAGCGGTGAGTATCTATAGCTAGAACTGTCGATAATTCTAATGTCTAAACCAAGCTTAATTTTTTAGTTTTACCATCTGTCAATAAAATTCAGTATAGATGCAAAAGTATACGTTTGTATTAATGGCTACGTTTACACCGTGCATTTAGGCCGCGGCCTATACAATAGATGTTCTTGTTTATCTTGTAGGTTAAACAAAGACACTTATCGTATAGGTGTCTTTGTTTAATATACAGGATAAACAAAGACACCTATCGTATAGGTCGCGGACTAAGCATATGGTGTAAACGTAGCCAATAACATTGCTTTTTACTGCATCGAAAATGTCGACATTTGAGCCAAATAATAGCGTCGACATTTGCGCGAAGTATTAATCTTTTGCTTCAAATGAAAGAAAACTGCAGCTGAAGCTCATCGAATGCTTGTAGAAGTTTATGGTGATAGTGCTCCTTCCGATAAAACATGCAGAGAATGATTTCGACGCTTTAAAAGTGGTGATTTTGATGTGGAGGACAAAGAGCGTTCTGGACGACCAAGAGCATTTGAAGACGAAGAATTGCAGGCATTAGTGGATGAAGACCCATGTCAAACGCAAAAACAACTTGCAGAAGCATTAAATTGTGCTCAATCTGTTATTTCCGATCGTTTGAAAGCCTTGGGAAAGGTCTACAAGGAAGAAAAATGGGAACATAAAAATATAAAACGGACTGCTTGACGTGTGAACGTCATTGCGTACATGTTCGTGCCGTTGACAAATTCGTGATGCTATCACTAGCTTTATCTGAAGTTTTGACATCAACAAACGTTAGATTAAAATTTAGTTAAAAGTTAGATAAAATGAGCGACTCCGGGCGACGCCGGGACAATACATTGAACAATACATTTTCAACAATTCTAAAATTATAAGTAACAAAGTGTTTTGTGAAATATTATATATTTTTGTTCTAAAAAATACGTTGATCTTTAGTATGTAAAAAGTGAAAAAGTGAATATAGATTATGAAGGATTTTTGAGAACTGAAACTTTAAGGGGATGCTAAAGTTGTTCTACTTTACCATCATTTCCATTCGGTGAAATATCTCCGAATTGAATTGACGGATTGCAAAATTGTTTTTACAGAATTAAAGTACGCACAAACAGGACCTCAGCTGTATCGGATTTTATGAGAAAATCGAAAAAAAGTTTAAAAATTCGCTTACTTTTAGCTCGTATACAGCTGACACGTCAGGTCTATATTTGCTTCATACAATAGTTTTATAGTTTATATCTTCAAAATAAGCATACGGCTGAAGTCACATTATTGTAACGAACGATACCGAGTTTGTAGAACTAAGATTGAAAGTTTAGAAGAATAGCTTTTTCACCGAATGGAAAATACGTGTATACGGATGCTTTGCGAAGACTGGGACTGTCAACAGAGCCGAAATTCCGTGTAGTAATAGTTGCGCGGTCTTGCGATAGATGGTGCTGGCATATGTTAGATAAGGATAGATGTATGCGTTTAAGTGAGATAGAACGATATATAATATAATGTAAGAAATGAATCAAAGATGTCACTATTATCGAATTTGGAATTAAAAAAGTCTGCACTATCGACCTCGATCAAGTTCGGTAATCAGTTTAGGATCAACAAAAGTTATTTCTATGTGGAGCGAGTTTATAAAAAAGACAAAACAAAATCGAACTTTTGACAAAGAATTGAGAAAATGTAGCTAAATACTTTTTATCTAGTAGAAACTCAATTAAAGTAAATAATATAAAAAATTTTTCAAGAAAACAAAATACATATTAGACATCAATTAAGGATGTATCGGATGAGATATTTCAAAATGATAATAAAGTTATAAAAAAAATACAGATTATTCTAAATCGCATTTAAAAGTAAAGGTTTACTGTCTAGATAATAAGTTCTTTTAATAAATAGTATTTTTTAAATCTTGTGCTTTTATAAAAATGTATGGAATTGCATCATAAAATAAATGATAAAAATCTCAATTTTTTATTATAAGTACTTTATGTACTTTATAAGTATTTTATGTATTTTATGGGATATTCAGTCAAACATTTAATATAATAATAAGAAAACAATAAATTATATAAGAAAATTACAACTTAATTATATGAGAAAATTACATATATAAGAAAATTCATGCGTTTTTAATTAATTAGAGCAGACTAATAGAGTATATGCAGATATACATTTTGAATCACAAAATATTTTTTGCTAATAATATAAATTTTACGTACTTGTTTTTGTGTTTTTAATATTATACAATATGTGTTTACGATAATATAATAAATTAATATTATGAATTAACATTAATTAATAATTAATATTGAGATTAATTTATTATATAATGTTATTATATAATGTATTATATATTTCATACATACCATTTTTTATTTTATTTTAACATTGACATTTTTTGTAAAAAAAATTTTTTTCGTTAAAATGTAAATTTCTGCATTCTTTTTCGGGAATTATTTTGGCACATTTTAATTTCACTCGTACTCATTTTCGCGATATGTCACTTATTCAAAATTACCGCGATGCAAATGTTTAAAATGCCTCATCTGGTTGTGCGCAGAACGGTATGAAATTCGTCTCGAAAACGAGCATATAGTATATGTGAAATTGTGAACTCTAGCGACGTAGCGACACATGAAAAGGTACCTTAAACCTCGTATCTACGAACAATAACGTGCTCTGGTCGTATTGACCTCCGATCCACTATTCCACTCCGATCAGTATAAAGGAAGCAAGTGAAATTGAAAGGTGGAAGAGGCTTTCAGAGTCAAAGGCCCTGAATCGGAGCAGAGCTCGGAGCTGCTTGGAACCGTAAAAGATGCTGGACGATGTATCCCGTTGCTCCGGATCTTTCTTACGTCTTATCGGAACGTGAGGATATCAATTCGGTCCTGTACAAACCGATTAATTCGACGCAGCGAATAAAGGTACAATGTGACAGATCACATGGAAAGATATTAGCATTTTTTCGCATGTAATATACCAAAACGTAAGGTTAACCCAAACGGTACGGTAGGCGTACAATGTATCTGTCATTCTTATCATATAATATCACACAACTTGCCTCAAGTCGGTCAACTTTTATTAAAAAATAATAGAGATAGTTCTGATAACATCTTTCTAATGAATGATTTCTAATAAACACCTTTCTAATGAAAAACAAAATGATGATTATAAGTGCTTAAAACGCGTGACTGAACGCAGCTTTAGTCGTATATATGATTGGTGCTTTACAGAAAGAGACAGTATAACAGTAGGTTTGTTCGCGTTGCTTGAAATCCCTAAAAGTTTTTGCACTTAAAGAGATGAATATATATTCGGATATTGAAAAGAGAGAAAGCGAAGATGCTGAGTATAAAAAATGTATGTACACAACGCGAACAGACCTAGTGATTAGAGTACCTATAATGGCTGCGTTCAGCAGACTCAACAGTTTTGCAACCGTTTTATGATTGTCTACTGAGATAGGACCATTCTTCTAGATCTAAAAGTATGATCCAATTAGCGCGAAGGAAACTTACAACAGTTGCAAAACAAACGTTCTGCTGAACGCACCCAATGAGTATTACGGTCAACAGAGCGTGAATGATGCAAAACCGGAAACGCATCAAAAAGCGCGCGCATTTTCAAATGCGCTCTGAAGTGTAAAACTGATATTGTACGTGTAACAATGATTTTATAATGTCACCGACGAGATACTATTAAAGACCGTCAACCCTGGGCAAATTTTCGACGGTACAAAAAGGACCCCAAGGGCCCGGAGATAATCGAAGAACGCTGACATTATCGACAATTGATATAAATTTGCTATTATTAACATAAATATTTGACTAATACATTATTAAATTCATGATATTTTATTACATAAATGCTCTATAAATAAATATGCATATTTGTAAAGCTATAATATCCTATATATTGCCGAAAAATTACAATTTTTTTCTCTGCAGTTATTATCTCTGTTGATAATCGAACTTTGACGATAACACTGAAATCACAATTTTAAAGAAAAATCGAGTATTATTGAGTTTTAAATGCACGTACACCGATAAACACGTCTACTAAACTAATAAATCATAAAATTAGTACAATATTCTCAGTTTTT